CCAGGAAAGATTTGAACAAGTTACTCTCACCAAAATCCAAAGATCTTCAAGTGAGGAGCAAACACCTACAATGTGTGAAAAAAATGTTGCCGGTACAGATGAGGAGAATAAGATAATTGGAGAGACACATGAACAGAATTATGTGGTTGAGCTCAAAGAACTTGAACCGAGTTCTGTATTGGAGACACCATTCCAAGAAGTCTGCATTGAGAGAAGGACACACCTCCAACAATCTACAACTGAGAAGAATATGTCAGGCATGTTGTCACTGCTCAGTTGTGACTTAGATCAATATCTCAAGGAAAAGCCAATGGCAATACAATGCCACCCAGAAGAACATCTAGTCCATGAGAGCTACACACAAGTTATACTGACAAGTAGTAATTTGGAGGATAAGATAGATGTAGAGGAAAGTGAACACATGCAGACGTATGAAGGTGTAGTCACAGAAGTGTCACAAAGCTCTGTATTAGAAACACCATTCCAAGAAGTCTGCATTAAGAGAAAGACACAGCAACAACAGTCTACAACTGAGAAGGATATGTCAGGCATGTTGTCACTGCTCAGTTGTGACTTAGATCAATATCTCAAGGAAAAGCCAATGGCAATACAATGCCACCCAGAAGAACATCTAGTCCATGAGAGCTACACACAAGTTATACTGACAAGTAGTAATTTGGAGGATAAGATAGATGTAGAGGAAAGTGAACACATGCAGACGGATGAAGGTGTAGTCACAGAAGTGTCACAAAGCTCTGTATTAGAAACACCATTCCAAGAAGTCTGCATTAAGAGAAAGACACAGCAACAACAGTCTACAACTGAGAAGGATATGTCAGGCATGTTGTCACTGCTCAGTTGTGACTTAGATCAATATCTCAAGGAAAAACCAGTGGCAATACAATGCCACCCAGAAGAACATCTAGTCCATGAGAGCTACAAACAAGTTATACTTACAAGTAGTAATTTGGAGGATAAGATAGATGTAGAGGAAAGTGAACACATGATGACAGATGAAGTTGTAGTCACAGAAGTGTCACAAAGCTCTGTATTAGAAACACCATTCCAAGAAGTCTGCATTAAGAGAAAGACACAGCAACAACGGTCTACAACTGAGAAAGATATGTCAGGCATGTTGTCACTGCTCAGTTGTGACCTAGATCAATATCTCAAGGAAAAGCCAGTGACAATACAATGCCACCCAGAAGAACATCTAGACAATGAGAGCTATGAACAAGTTATACTGACAAGTAGTAATTTGGAGGACAAGATAGGTGTAGAGGAAAGTGAACACATGCAGACAGATGAAGTTGGAGTCACAGAATTGCCACAAAGCTCTGTATTAGAAACACCATTCCAAGAAGTCTGCATTGAGAGAAAGACACAGCAACAACAGTCTACAACTGAAAGAGATATGTCAGGCATGTTGTCAATGCTCAACTGTGACTTAGATCAATATCTCAAGGAGAGGCCAGTGGCTATACAATGCCACCAAGAAGAGGAGGTAGTCCATGAGAGTTACAAAGAAGTTATTTTGACAAAAGACACAAAAAGAGAAAGTCTTACAATCTCCCCTGAACATAAGATGAAGTCACCAGAAGACATCAATTTAGACATTGTGGACATCAATAAAAAGAGAGCTTTGAAAAGTGGATTGCAAACATGTTCCCATGAAGATGAGGATTCCAAGGGTTTCTCATCTGAGGATGAGGCGAAGACCTCACCAAGTGCAGCATCACATTTCAATGACTGTGCTAAAGAGATGGAGGACAGTACAAAGTCATATATGACAATGGATGACTGTAAGAATGATGATCGGGATGTCACTGGAGTTGCTGCTCATGAAATTCTCAAAAAACACACATTTTTGCAACTACCAAGTGGTTCTAACATACCACAACGACCAGCCGATTGGGAGAACCTAAACATTGTGGTATTTGATGACTCTGCTAAAGAACCATGCCATCGAGACTCACTAGAGGCAAGTCCTCTCATGGAGGATAGATCTTCAAAGACATCTCCTGATTCAATTGAGCCAAGCCCTACCAGAGAATCTCCTTGTCCAGACTCTCTTGAGGGAAGTCCCACTCAATCAAAGGACACAGAACTGAAGATGCCAGCCAAGGCAGCTGTGTATGAGGATTATGCCTCCCAACTAGAAGCATGCTTTGCTTACGACAAAAATATTTACAGGGATGAAAGTGATCACAATGATCAAGAAAACAACTATGAGATCACTCAAATGGAAGGTGAAATTAAGGATGACAAATACTCCACAAAGGAAGTAACCAATGGTAAGAATCTTCACATGCTCATAAGGCAAGACTCTCTCAACACAGATGATAGTGAGGATGATACCAACAATAAACAATTCACCCCAGAAGAGGAAATGTTTAAAATGGCTGCAAGGATCAAAACATTTGAAGAGATGGAACAGGAAGCAAAAATTAAGAGAGACAAATCTTTAGATGTCACTGCACTGTCAGAGACAGCTGATCATGAAGATGATGAGCTAGATCTAAAACTTGGCCCGGATATACAGTCTTCTTCACATGATACAATACAGAAAAAATCAGAAAAATGTGTGACAGAAAGCACTTACACACTTAGTGAAGGAACAAACGATGAGAATGTAGAAATTCAGTCACAAATAAAAACTACTGAATCAGTTGACGGTTCTTTGTGTTTAACTGCAACTCACAGAGAGGAATCTGATCCAGACAATGAGGAATTTGTGCCACTCTTGGCAGAAAAAGAAGCCAAGATACACACTGATAAAGACACTGTGGAAGGTGACCATTCCTCAGTCACTGACACACATTTTTCCAGCTGTCTGACAGATCAGCACCATCCAGATGGTGACAAAGAAATTGAATTAAACCTTACAGACAGTTCTGTTAGCAAACCCCAGGCTATGTTGTCTACAAATGAACTAGAACATGTTATTCCAGGGTGTGATGGTGAGAATGATGTAGTCTTCATTGCACAGGTTGAGGCCAAGGAAGAGATTAATCTTTGTCCTTCAGAGGACAAAAAAACACCTGATAAAACACCTGTTCGAACAGGAAGTGATGAGAGAACCCCTGATCCATTTCAGTTTCAAGAGGGGAAGCTATTTGAAATGACCAGAGGGGGAGCTATTGATTTGACAAGAAGAAGCTTTGATGAAGAAGGGGCAGGATATGCATTTTTTCACATAGGGGAGCATCCAGTTGATGAAGTTGGGCCAGAGGAGACTGGGGGAGGTCAAACAAATTCAATGGACAGTAGTGATTCTATTATAAACCTACAGGATGTCCCACAGTCATCTCTGAGTCAGGGTGCCAATGACAAAATTCCTACTCCCAAACCCAGAACTCTCATCAAATCCTCAAGTGACAAGAATGAGAAGCCACTTTCTGAAGCTGATCTCGGCAGCTCTTTAGAGATTCAGCTTGGTTCCCCCAGTGCTTTGGAGAGACTAACCATTAGTCCAAGTGAGGTTGGAAGCCTTGAAAGCCTTGGTCTAGACTATCTAGACTCTACCATAGCAGACCTTCAATCAGACACATCCACAGTTGCCCATTCAGGGTACGCAGAGCAGAGCCATGATTCCTCAGACTCCTCTCCTGATGATGATGAAGATGAGGAAGATGATGAAGACCAGTGCTCAGTCATAGAGATGTCCTTTCCAGCTGCACAGGCTGGTATTCCAGCATTTAATCAGGATTCACCCCCACCATTGGCAATCCAACCAGGCAGCATGATTAAAGAGGAAATAACCATGGAAGGCTCACAGATATCTGAGCTGAATCAGGTTAAAAGGAAATCCGAAAAAAAGTCAACTTTGGCTCGTAGGACTAGATCTGAGGCTGATAGTCACACAAGTAAAGCCTCTAATAAAGACAGCAGGAGTTATTCTGACAGTAGTCAACCCACTAATGACCTGTCTTCCTGCAAACTTCCTGTCATGACACAACAGAAACCTCTAGCTCAGACGACCTCCTCCTCTCCCCAAAGGAAAGAAATACAACTCTCTAAGACTACAAAAACATCTGTTAGGTCTTCTTTGGATGCTGATGATATCAGCAGCGCTAGTCAAAGGAGTCCAGATTCTGTTATCTTCACATATGACACTCAAGCCTTACACAGTTCCGATTCTGATGGCAATCCGTTGCCGGGTGTGCAACAATCTTCTGGGACAGGGGACGAATTTGAATCCAGGCCTGCCTGGGATGACACGGTGGAAACTCAGATGCAGAGAATCATCGATGACCAAACTGCAGAATGTATGTCAGGTATGGCTAGACCTACATGGGCTTTTGCTTTCCTATCTCTTCTCCTCGGCAGCAAGACCCCTTTTCCTCTTCCTAAGAACATAATGTCACCATTTGTCATTTTGTGTTGTTTTCATGTGTTGTGATTTGTCTAGTCCCATCTTACATTGTGTATCTTTGTGTGTGTGTGTGTGTGTGTGTGTGTGTGTGTGTGTGTGTGTGTGTGTGTGTGTATGAATGTGTTTTGTAAGTTACTTTTCCATCTGTATTTGTGTTTATGCAATCTCAAGATTGAATGGCCAGGTTGGTTTAAGAAGTAGTAGCTTTAACAATTTTCCATTATTGTATTGGTATTATATATTGATATCTGTTCTACTAATACAGCTTTACTAATAGTAGCATGCACATTGCTTATTAGCACATTAATGACATTTCTGACACTAATGATTAAAAAATTATGTGCTAATTGTGACCAAATAGTGATAGTCAACTCCTCGTCAGTGACGAATCCAACCTTTATGTCATCATCCATTATAACATCACAGATCCACATTTAATTTCAGAGTATTACAGCCCATAACATAGAAAAAGAAGAAAAGAAATAGAGGAAATTCAATTTAAATCTAGAGTGACTGGTACCTGCAATGTGACAAAACTCTTACTTTGAGGTACATAGTATTTTACATCTTAGACTGTTGAACATGATATTAAGATTTAATGTCTGGCTCTGACGGCATTTTTTAGTGGATTGGCAGGATGATGCTGACAGGAAAGAGGAGACATTAGCTATCATTGCAGATCTTCTTGGCTTCAGCTGGACTGGTAAGCTGTGAAATAATGCAATCCTTTTCTATTTTCAATTTAGGGAAAAGTAATATGTAGTGCATATATTTTTGTTTGAATTGAACTGATGTATTTGTGAACAGAACATGTTATATAGAGGTATCCCTGTTATTGCAGCAAAACACACAAAATACATTTGTTTTGTTATCCATCCCCCCAGAGCTGGCAAGAGAACTGGAATTCAGTGAGGATGATATCCAATTAGTAAGAACAGAGAATCCTAATTCTCTCCAAGAGCAGAGCCATGCCTTGCTGCAGCGCTGGGTTGAGCGGGAAGGCAAACATGCCACAGGTAAACTGTGTTTTGGTCCGGCAGATTTTACTAGTATTTTCCCATATAGTACTTCGAATTCTGTAAACACTGCTGATTTTTGTGTGTAAACACAGGCTTTAAAAATCTATTTTATCTTTGATGTTGAATCTATCAAATGATTTGTGTTTTTATTAGACCAATATTCCTACTGTACATTCAATGTAATCTTGCATTTGCAATTTTCTTATAATTTTGTTGTTGTGTTAATTTCATGTTTTTTACAGTCTATTAATAATTGATAAATCCTTCCACAGAGGACTGTCTGATTAAGAGACTAACCAAGATAAACCGCATGGACATCGTCCATCTTATTGAAACCCAGATGAACAAGTCAGTTCAAGAACAAACATCTCGAACTTATGCAGAAATAGAGAAGACACTGGATCACAGTGAAGGTAGTAACACCTTTAAACACTAATTTCAGCAACCAGTTTGAAGGTTATATCTGACACCAGGCTGTGTTTGTGTGTGTGTTTTCAGTGTCAGTAGCCCTTTCTTCAGTGCAAGAGGATGCAGACAGCCCCAGAGTTGTGAGAAGGGTGGAGTCAGACCGCAGACCACCCCCAGCTGTTTCTGAAGAGGATCTCTCAGTTGCTTCGCTACTGGATATTCCTTCCTGGGCAGAGCCTATTGGTCACACTCACTCAGAGAGCATGCACGGTGACCTGTTGGAGGACCTTGAGATCCCACAGTAAATAATTAATTTGAAACTATTCCTGAATCTGCAACTTACATCTCCAGAGTAATGTAGTGTCACATCATTGGACAGATTTCAACTAACACCCACACACTAGAAATGTCATATAGGCATAAAGACATAAAGTAGTAAAAACTGCTGCTTTTCTGGAGGATCAATATTTCCCCGCATGTCGATGCTACGAAATGGAACAGTGGCATATCTTGATGCAAAGAGTGTGCATGCTTACATAGAACTCAAATGGGTGCAGGTATTTGGCCAGTGCCCATTGTTTGTGGGTGTTACCCTTTAGCCTTGTTAGAATAGGGCTCTTCATGCAAAGTCATATTTTGTAACCTAACCTTATTTTTGTGTTACAGTGAATTGAACCCTAACCTGTGGACTTCTGAGGATGTAATTGCACAAGAACCTACAACTTACGACAACTCAGATGAGCAAGTAAGTACACTCCCCACTTCAAAAGAAGCAGCATTGGGGAGTCAAGGAACTCAGGTTTATGACCCCAAAGTAAAAGACCAGCAAGATTGCTGCAGTGTTGAAGTTGATTTCATCAGGCCTTTCCAAGGTGGCGCTCACTGCCATGTCAAAGATGACTGCAGCCAAACCTTACCATTGAAGCAGTGTGATTGTGAAGATGAGCAAGGGCGATCATATGAAATTCTGAAGTTACCATCATCCATATCTATCAGAGACTTTGGCCTGAGCCTATCAGAATCAGACCAGGCTGAGACTGACTTCAGTGAGCTTTGTGATGAGTTTAGCTATGCAACACAACTTGGCAAAACAGACACAGCTAAATCCACTGTCGGAAGCATCTCTGACCTTCTGTTAGTTTTGCCACCAGAGGACCACCAAGCAACTCTGGCCATAACTGAAGATGACACAGATGTAGCTAAAAAAAACAGGCTCTCTCAGAAGGTCCCACAGGTTTCTAGTGGGGATATGGGCTTCAAGCCCAAGGAAGAAAACACAAAACCCCAAGTATACACTGATGGGTGTACGGAAAACATGCCCTTCATTGATGATGATGATGTCCAGTCAATTGAACACAGTATTCCTACAGCTAAGTACAGTATGATGAAATCATACAAAATGAAATTACCAAAAACCGATTTGCCACACAGTATGACAGTCAGTGGTTCTTCTCACGTGACATGTGACTCAACTGATAGGCACTGTAATTACTATTCTGTTAGTCCAGACAGTGACCATGTCATAGTTAGGGCGAAAAGAAAAGGTCTTTTCCTACCTGTCACCCATCTTGCACCCCAATCACCTGATCAAGATGTGACATTAGCTTCCACTTTTATGGAATACAGCCCTTTGACCCCTGATTCTTTGGCATCTGAGGATCAGTGTGGCTCATTTTCACCTGTTAATGAAACAGGTCTCTTCCTTTCAGAGGCATGGATATTAAATGACCCCATACATAGACTGTCATCTCCTGATTCTGTCATGTCAATTTCTGATTATAGGGTAATGTCACCTGACTCTCCATTGGGAGAAGAGGGGGTCCTCCCTGACTTTTCCAGTATACTGGATGACAACCGGGCACTCTCTCCCAGATCAGATGTACATAGTTCACCAGAAGTTACAATTAATTTAACTGAAAATAAATTACACCCCAATCAAAGACATACATTTGAATGTAAACCACAGTTTGAAAGTTCAAAAGATTTTTCAACTGCTGAAATTTTACAGTCCCTTTGTTCTGACTCCTTTGAGTCTTGGAATAACTATAGGCCACTGTCCCCTGACTCTCAACTACCTACATATAGCCCTACACCTGAAGATCCACAGGTAAAGGGAGGGTTTAGAGCATTCTCACCTTTGACACCAGATATTGAGTGTGAGAAGTTATTGTGTCACGTTTCTTCTGTTAGGAGAGCATCTTCACCTGACTCAGTTAAAAATATTCATAGATTTGGGCCTTCAAATAGGGACTGCCGACCAACCTCGCCAGATTCTCAGGCTTCTCAGTGCAGTTTCTCATTTCTTGAACTCTTGCTCTCTGAACCTGTCCGAGAACAACTTATGAGTCAATATTGTGATTATTATTTACTATATTCAAGAGAAAATCTACCCTCACCACTGCTGATGTCAGACCCAAAACCAGATAAGGAAATCAGTACATCTTTCCTTGATTACTGGTTTTCTAACTTGAAACCACAATCTTCTGAATACATACCATCATTACCAGATGAGTCAGATAATCACTTAACAAATATTAGACAAGACACCTCAGAACACAGTAAATTACAAGAATCCAATGATTTGTATTGCATTAAAGAATGTCAAAAACAATCTGTTGATACTTGGCACATGTACAGTCATGTACCAGTACCAAAACCAATGGTTTTTAACTTAGTTGAGAGACAAAACTACATGTTAGAGTTTCCAAATAATGTAGTTCAAAGGTTAAATACCGGAGAGTCCTTACTTGAAACTGAAAGCACAGAGTGCAAGTATACATTATTTGGTGGCAAGAACACAATAAACAAACAATTACAGGGTTCAAGTAAATCTGTTCAAAACATGTTGGGTGAAGCAAAACAGGATTCTCAAAACTCAAGATGTTTTTCAGACTTCACAGCAGACTGGTTGTTGGACCTTAGAACATCCT